AAAAGTTCTTTAGGGATTTTAACACTTTCCTGTTTCTTTATTCTTTTGAGAAACAGTTTGCATATTTACTCTTCATTTGGCCTTTTTATTAGTTTTAAAGTTCAACGATGTTACAGCTAACGATTCGGTTGCTACGTTTTCTGCTTGTTTCTCTAAAAGATTTTATTCTTAAACTTTTCTTAACTTAAATTTAGATTTTAAGTAAACGTTCGGTTTTTTATTTTTAAGAGCATTCTTCTACGTCAAGCTGCATAATAAAATGACACTATCGCGAACCATCTGTTTTCCTCCATCTATTCTTCTACAGTTTTAAATTTATAAGCGTACATCTGAATCCACTTCTGATACGGAAGGCTTTACTCTTGCAGCTAGTCGAAATTTGTTACATAACATTTGATCTGATCTTTTGTAGTACGAGTAGATATTAGTTTCTTAAAGAAAGAAAATTGTTTACTTGTTTAATCCCGATCGCGTTACCGAGATGATTGGAAATTTGAAACAAGTGGGCCAAAACCAAAGAACCAAAACGTCCGTCCAATTCTAGTTTTGAATTTTTTTCAAATAATTTTTCATATATTGTTGTGAGACCTAACCTTTACTTCTGGGAATCCCACGATTTACCTCTAGCTAGCTCAGTTGAAATTAAAATGAAAACAAAATTTTTATCCGCATCTCAAGGTCCAGCTGGATTCTGCCACCCCACAGCATTCCAACAATGACATGAATAGGTGGCTTAACCAAATCCTTAAATTCCAATATGAAACTTTACCCCCAGATTTAATCAACTTGAAACAAAGTAAGAGACGCCGACAATTACCTCTCCTTGACTCTAATAAACAAAACCTGGATTGCAATGACTGGTTTAATTTCAAACAAAAAATTGCGTAAATTTCTGTTTTACAAAATGTTACAATTTTAAACAGATAAATGACACACACAAAAAAAAAACAAATTACTCAAACATTACAAAAAAAAAACATGACAAAACAACACACTAACTACTACTTACTTTTAAAATTAGTCCGAATAACGTATTCCGATAAAAAGAAGTATCCGTACACAATCACGTAAACCAACCACTCAAACACCGACGTCTTCTCTCTTCGGGTACCCACAAATTCAAAACTTCCGTGTTTCCGCAAAATAAAAAAAAACAGGACGACGACAAACTTCTTAAACTTCTCAATAAATCTTCTTAAAACGGCAGACACAAAATTCTAATTAAACCTGGATCCAACTACGCAGGAAAACTTCCACAAAATTCAAAAATAACGTAACCGAAGAAGCGCCGGTTGGCTTTGTAACGACCAAAAAGCCCCGCTCTCTTCCAAAATTTTCTATTTAAGCCAAAAGCCCTTCTCCTTTCTTCCACACCCCGTCCGCCAATCACGCGAAGCGTCGATTTTTCAACTTCTTGCTAAACGGCACGTACGCCCGGCAATTCTGCGAAGAACCTTATCTCTACTTCGCGCTATACCTCGTTAACGGCAAATAAAATTTAAAAAGAAATTTACATCGAAAAATTCTAGGAATAAAATAAAAACAGAACACTTCTAAGAAATTGAACCAAAACTATAACATGAAATTTACGCAATCCTGTGTCTCAAATTATTAATAACCCCCCCGGTTAATTAATTGAACTAAACAAATTTGTCACATCCAGACGCTCTATAATTTCTTTCAAGTTACAACTAAAACAAAATAACACAACATTTTCCCCCTTTAAATTGAACACAAAAACACAAAATTACAATCCTCCCCTGACTATGAAAACAAAACAAAATATTGGAATTACAGGGTTTTTTTTTTTCAATTTACCAATTAACTTTAAAAACAACTTCGGGACCTGCTTTAGGTATTCGGACACGATCGCCTAACACAGCTCCCTAGTCATTACTGAAACCCCGCACGGTGACGTCACCAGCTGAGCCTGAGAAATTTCATCAACCTAGTATAAAATTTAAGAACTACCACTAATTTACTAATCTTTTTCCTAAACTTTTTCCATTCTCGCTTTTCTTTTCCTCCCCCCTTTTCTAAATTAATCCAGGGCTTCTCTATAAAAATCCCACACATAAAACAATCTCTTAATTCTTTAATTACAACAATCCGTTTACCCTTTTCACTCATAATTAAATTATTCAAATAATCAATGCCTACTACTTCCAAAAACTCACTACTCCTAATTCTTTTAATCTTATCCTGCTTCCTACAATCCTCATCCTGCTCAAAGCTACACAAATTCCCTTCATTCTCAATCGATAATTCCAAATCTAAGTCTCCTACTACCCTATCATAATAAAAATTCCTCCAAAAATCCTGAAAATAATTCTCCCTTATCTGGTTATCTAAAATCTCATAATTAGTTCCTATCTCCTTCCCGCCTATTCCTTTCCTTGATAAAACATCCACACATAAATTATTATTCCTTTTTAAACTATTATTCCCTTTCACATACTTAATCTCAAACAAATTCGCCTGTAAATTTCTACCCCTACAATAAATCTTATTATCCACAAAACTCTTCGCTATTAAATAATTCAAATCCCTATTCTCATCTTCTATTTCAAACTTCCTATAATTCACGCAATACAACTTCACCTTCAACTCTGGTCCCCTACCAGTTCCTGCAATAAAATAACTACCTACTTCAACCCTATTTTCAACTAAAATCCCTTCATCTTCTTTCTCTTGTACGACTTCTTCATCTTGCCTATGAACTTTTTCAATCTCGACTTCATCCTTAACTTCAACTTCTTCTTTAATTACCATCTCATTTGATCGCTTCTTTCTCATTAATTCTATTTCTTGTCTGATTTCTTCCTTTAATTCCGCTTTTAATTCCGCTTTTAATTCCGCTTTTAATTCCGCATTCTGCGCTTTCATTTCTTCGCCCAAATCCTTCTTCAACTCTCTTATCGCTTCTATAAACACCGCAAAATTCGCTGCCTGAATAGATGACACTCCCATCGTGAACAACTCTTCTTTCTTCTCGTCTTGCATAAAAATCACGTTCCAAAAAAAAATCCTAACACTAATTCTAACACTACCTACCCCGTAACTAATCCTATCCTAAACATCCTAATCTAATTTAAATTGCAAAAACACACCCTACCAAATTCTTCCTGTCACATTTTAACAAGTTCCTACGCCTACGCATCCCACAAATTCCTATAACAATTAACCTCCACAATGGACACCTCTTTTCCCTGAAAAATGACATGTCTGGGTACCAAAATAACTTTTTACCCGAACGACAAAACAACCCTAATCTGAATTTACCTACAAAATTTTTTTACCTACTTTCGCGTTTCCCTGAAATTGCCCCACGTTGGGCGCCAAATTATTGTTGTGAGACCTAACCTTCACTTCTGGGAATCCCACGAATTACCTCTAGCTAGCTCAGTTGTAATTAAAATGAAAACAAAATTTTTATCCGCATCTCAAGGTCCAGCTGGAT